CCCCTAAGGGCGCCCTCGCGTGCGTGGGCTAGATACGGTAGGTTTGCGTCGTGTCGACCAGCGGCGACCCCAGCGCGGGCGTTCAAGGTTGAACGCCGCCGGCGACCCAGAATCGATCGATGTTGAACGATCGGACGTTGCGGAGACGGCCGATCGTTTAAGGTTGAACGATCCAGCGCGGTGTCAGGAACCAACGCCAGGGTCGACACGGCACGGACCTGCAGTATTCCGACTTGAGTAAGCTGTGCGCAGGATCGAAGGCGTTTGGGGCAAGCTAGGCTCCCAACAACGAAAGATGACCAAGGCCTCCAAGAGCGAACGGTGACGTGAAAAAGATCTTAACGCCAAAGCTCCCAAGAGCGAATTCTCGGGCGAGTTCCTGAAGCGCTCGTTTCGTCCCCAAGCCGGCGAATTGGATGTCGTAGAAAGTGAGGTATGAGTGATGACGTTCCGTTGGGGCGAAAAGCCGTCAAGGTAGGGGTTCCAGGGGAGGGGCGAAGCGGATGTTCCCGGCGTTAACACGCGCCCCTCCCCCCAAGACGGCCGCAGAGGCGCCCAGGACGGCCCTAGATACCCCCAAGACAGCCCAGGAGAGGTTCAAGACGGCTCCAAGACGGCCAAAGAGCGCTCCAAGACACCTTGCGACCGCTCAAGTTCGTTCGAAGATGGCTTAGGATGGCCTCAAGACAGTCCGAGACTCCCAGGAGGGCCTGAGGAGGCCAGAAACATGGATTTCCATGTGGTTGTTGCATGTTTTTGAGGTACTTGTCTCTTCGGATCAAGAACGGCCTAAGACGGCCCAAGAGGCCTCAAAGGTCGCCCCAAGACGGCCCCAGAGGTTCCAAGACGGCCCAAAAGGGCCCCAGAGGGCCCTCAGATGACCCAAGAGGGCCTCAAAAGGACCCCAAAGAAGGCCCAGAGAGAGGCCATACTCAATGATGTACGCAAGATTGTTATTGGATGTTTGTTTCGTCACGTTAATAACTCCAAAGACTCAGGCTCAAAGGATGGACGGTGGTGTGAACCCTGGGGTCTCACGACGGCACAGTGACGGGCACAGCTTTGACACCACGGATTCTTCCCACAGATGGCCCAGTGACAGACACAGCTTTGATGCCAAGGCTCCCAAGGGCTCCAGGTGGCGAAAACATGCATCTTCAGATAAGGGAGGCGGGCGGCCTTACGTCCCCCACCCCACCCCACCCGGCGACCACGTGGGGAAACATCCGTTGTTTCTTTTTGCGCCAACCCACCTTGCGTTTGTGCGCCTCGCGGGGCAACATTCCATCACATGTTTCAACTTCCACCCTCCCGCCGCGTAGCCAGAAAGTTGCGGAATGCGTTTTGGCATTGGTCAGCGGCTTTGTTTTCGACACCCACCCTCCCTCCGCGGGCCAACACAAATACGGAGTGCGCTTTGCGCTGAGCATTTTATCTCCGCACAGGAGAGTGATCGCGGGATGGCCGGGCATAATCCAGGTTTAGCCGCGAATTGCATGTTGTGTTGTTTTTGACGGATGGTGGGCTCGCGCAAGGCAGGCAATCTGAGGGCCCCCCCCCCCCGGCCCGGTCAAAAAAAATTAGCTTGGCGAAGGACCCAACCATATGCAGTTGTGAGTAATGTTGGTGTGAGTACCGTCTTTGGTGGATCTCCCTATGGGGCCACGAACCGTTTGAGGGGTGTGCCGAAATGTGTGTGGGGGCGGCATGCGAACGTTGCCACTGAGGCCTTCGGTGGAGCTCCTTATGGGGCCACGAAACGTGTGAGGGGTGCACCGAAGTTGGCGTGGGGGCGGCATGCGACGCAGCCACTGGGGCCTTCGGTGGAGCTCCCTGTGGGGCCACGAAACGTGTGAGGGGTGTGCCGAAATGGGTGGTGGGGAGGCATGCGAACGCAGCCACTGGGGCCTTCGTTCCTCCTTATGCCAACGTGTGAGGGTGTGCCGAAATGGGTGGTGGGGAGGCATGCGAACGCAGCCCTTCGGTGGAGCTCCCTATGGGGCCACGAAACGTGTGAGGGGTGTGCCGAAATGTGCATGCCGCAGCCACTGGGGCCTTCGGTGGAGCTCCCTATGGGGCCACGAAACGTGTGAGGGGTGTGCCGAAAGGGGTGCCGGGAAAGCTCCATGCGAACGCAGCCACTGGGGCCTTCGGTGGAGCTCCCTATGGGGCCACGAAACGTGTGAGGGGTGTGCCGAAATGGGTGGTGGGGAGGCATGCGAACGCAGCCACTGGGGCCTTCGGTGGAGCTCCCTATGGGGCCACGAAACGTGTGAGGGGTGTGCCGAAATGGGTGGTGGGGAGGCATGCGAACGCAGCCACTGGGGCCTTCGGTGGAGCTCCCTATGGGGCCACGAAACGTGTGAGGGGTGTGCCGAAATGGGTGGTGGGGAGGCATGCGAACGCAGCCACTGGGGCCTTCGGTGGAGCTCCCTATGGGGCCACGAAACGTGTGAGGGGTGTGCCGAAATGGGTGGTGGGGAGGCATGCGAACGCAGCCACTGGGGCCTTCGGTGGAGCTCCCTATGGGGCCACGAAGCGTGTGAGGGGTGTGCCGAAATGGGTGGTGGGGAGGCATGCGAACCCTGGAGGGAGGAGGGCGAGGAGGAGGAGAAGGAACGCGGGGGACTGTCTCTTCAAAACGAGGACCCAACACCACAGGATAGTTGGGAACAGTACAAAGTGTTCGCGAGGCCCACGAGCATGACAGCATGACTAAAGATTTTGCCCAAATGTGTGGTTTGTTTTGTTTTTGACAGGGATGGGGGGGCATTGGTCCTGCTTGGCTGCCGGTCGTCTGGGGGAGGGGGTGTTTATTGGTAGGGAACAGTTGAACCCTTTCCCTAAGGAAGAAAGAAGGGTTGGAAGAGGAAATTCTCTAAACCACTTACGCCCTACAGGGCTGGTGGGAATACAGTCAACCCGCATAGGAGGGGGATGCGCAACTGTCCAAGGTCACCCTTGCATCCTTCCCCCTCGGCCCATCCTTGGCCACCTTCGCTTGCCGCGCCCCACCCGCAGAGTGTCAGCATGGCCTCCAAGGCCCTTGCACCCTTGCCGTAAGTCCTTACTGTACGGGTTGACTGTAGCACCCCTCAAGGCCCGACGCCGAGCGGTGTGGTTGCCCTTCTGAAGGAGCGCCGCGCCGCTCGTGGAGGAAAACGTAGAGATTCGTCAATGCCTTTCGAGGGTCGAGGCTTCTCCTCCGCTTCGGGCCGCAGGGACCTGTTTCGAGCCCCAGGACCTTCGGAAACAGGCCCGCTTTGGAGAAACAGTCGGGAAGGATCCTTGAAGGGATTTGGGGGACGATTTTGAGCGGATTCCGGAATTTGGAAGAGGAGGAATTTAATGTTCAGGTGGCCTGGCGGCCCCCGGGTATTCTCCTTCCCGCCCCCCTCATCCGCCCCTGTCGTTACCCGTTTCTCAGAGGAACCAAATAACATCACCATAGATTTTCGGAAGTCCGCGCAGATTTCTCGGATCGACGCTGGACCCCCTCCCTCGCGCGCGGAGCGCGCCAGGGGCGGCGCTGGGGGCGCTGCCAGGCGGCTCCAGCGCCGATCCAGGAAATCCGCGCGAGCTTCCGAAAGTTCATGTGTATGCAATGTGGTGTTCCTCGAATGTTTGCTCCGTGGTTTCCGGCCTCCAGGCGGGCCGCCTTCGGGCTCTGTAGGGAATGTCCCGCGATCAAGAGTTGGCCCCATGGATTTTGATGGAGAGGTCGGACCCCGCGTTGAAAAGGCAACAGGTCGGAGGTCTGGGATGGAAGAAGAAGTCTGGCTCACCGTGTGTCCAGAATTGGCACGTAGGTGTATGGGTACCTTCACCTGACGCAGGCGAGGCCCAAGAGGAGGTCCCAGACGTTGGAAGCACCGTAGACAAGGAGCACGTCTGCGAACACCCGGTTTTCCGTCTAACGAAGTGTTTTCTTCGTTCTAACGATCTTTGTTTGTATATACAGGTATTTTCACACATCTCCAAATTTGGTCCCTCCCTTATATATACATATATATATACACATAATCATGTATTCACAACACTCCATATGTGTCCCCTCTCACTCTCTCTCTCTCTCTCTCTCTCTCTTCCTTAATACTCGCAACCCCACTTCAACGTGGAGTGTTTTTTCCAGACAAGCGATCTTGACCCCTCCCATCCTTGGAAGTGCTGCCCGCCATGCCCCTGAGATACCCTTGCGGCGTGGCGTTGCTTGGATTTGTTCCCATTCCTCTTTTTTTTTTTTGTTGTCTCTCCCTCTCTCGCGCTCTCTCTCTCTCTCTCTCTCTCTCTTTCCTACCTTTCGCTGGGAGACCGCCAGGGACCACACGCTCGACGGAGGCGGCGCGCTCGACGCTGCTGGAAGACCGCTGGAGACCGCTTGTCGACGTCTTTGGGCGGTCTCCCCGTCCCGCGACGCGACGCGAGGAGACCGGGGCTGGCTGGGCTCTGGGCAAGGACTGGGGGCCCGAGGCGGCCGTCCGGGGCGGTCGGGGCCCTGGCCCAGGCGCTTCTCGGCGGGGGCGCGGGCGATGGAGCACGCCCGGGGCCCCGAGAGCACTGGTGAAGGCACCCGAAGACCTAGAGCGAGCGTTCCAGCATGGGCCCCGTGCGAAGCGCAGCCCTCCAGCTCTCGCGCCGACAGAAATCCCAGGAGCCGCCGAGAACAGCGAGAGACGGCCGAAGACCGACCGCCAGAATGGAGCCCGAACACCGCTGGGCACGTGCTGTCGGGACGGGTGGACGGGGGTTGGAGGAAGAGGAGAAGGAGGAGGAAGAGAAGGAGAAGAAGGACGAGGAGGAGAAGGAGGAGGGAGGAGGAGGAGGAGGAGGAGGAGGAGGAAGAGGAAGAGGAGGAGGAGGAGGAGGAGGAGGAGGAGGAGGAGGAGGAGGAGGAGGAGGAGGAGGGAGGGGCTTCGCTGGAAAGTCAATCACCCCCCCTCATGTTGCTAAACACGCCATCGAGCAGGACCCTCCGCGTTCCTGTAGCCTCCGCCGCGCAGGCGCGGCTCCGGCCGAGCCCGGGGCGGACGCGCCCCGGGAGCCGACGGTGCACATTGTCAGGGACCCCCCGCGCCGCGCCTGCGCACACGCCGCCGCTGGCAAGGCCGCCAGGGGGGGGGGTCAGAGGAGGAGAAAGGTGCCGATACCACTACATGTCCCTCGTCTTCGCCTTCTCGGGCCTCGTGGGAGGCCCTCGTCGCCACCGTTGGATTCGCATCGAAATTCTAGCCAGAACGCACCCCAGGAGAGGTCCGCGTAGTAGCGGTATGGTTACCCTGTGGTTTTCCTAGGGGCAGGGCGCCAGTGGCGTGGAGTGGGCCGTCAGAAGCCCTCGGCGGCCTTCGTCCTCCCTCTCCTCCTCCTTCCTCCTCCTCCTCCTCCTCCTCCCTCCTCCTCTCCTCCTCCTCCTCCCTCCTCCTCTCCTCCTCCTCCTCCTCCTCCTCCTCCTCCTCCTCCTCCTCCTCCTCCTCCTCCTCCTCCTCCTCCTCCTCCTCCTCCTCCTCCTCCTCCTCCTCCTCCTCCTACCTCCTCCTCCTCCTCCTCCTCCTCCTCCCTCCTCCTCCTCCTCCTCCTCCCTCCTCCTCCTCCTCCTCTCCCTCCTCCTCCTCCCTCTCCTCCTCCTCCTCCTCATCCCCTCCTCCCTCCTTCCTCCTCCCCTCCTCCTCCTCCCTCCTCCTCCTCCCCTCCTCCTCCTTCTCCCCCTCCTCCTTCTCCTCCTCCCTCCTCCTCCTTCTCCTCCTCCCCTTCCTCCCTCCTCCTCCACATTCTTCTTCGATGCGATCTGATGCGATGCGATCCGCTGGTCAGGCCCGCGATGCCGCGTCGGCTCGGTGCGGCCCGATGTTCACCGGCAGCGGCCAGGGCCAGCCCGAGCCGGGCGCGGCGATGCGACCTCGCGGTGCGACCCAGCCCAGGCCTGGGGAGGCGGCCTCGCCGCACGGGGGCAGCTTCTGAAATCAGGGGCAACGTTTGGGGGACACTTCGAGGTTCGGGGCTCGAGGTTTGGGACGTTTCGAGGTTCGAAGTTCGGGGTTCGAAGCTTGGGACGCGTCGAGGTTCGAAGTTCGGGGTTCGAGGTTTTCGAAGGTTTTCCAGCCTCCGGGTGCTCTCCAGCAATTGCGCCTCGCCGAGGGCGTTCCAGCGCTGCCCGGATCGTCCCAAACGGCCGCCTGAGGCTCGAGTTCTGACCCCACAACCACCAGGGGCAGGCTCCGGGGGGGGACGCATCGACCCCCCATAGCCCAGTCATCGCCGATAGGGGCCCGGTAGTCCACTCCGCCCAGAGGCGTCGGGGGCTATCCCCGATCTGTCGGTGATGCATCGGCGATTGCAGCGCGAGCTTCCCCCCCCCCTTGAGCCAGTCCTCCCTCGTGGTTGTCGGGACTGTTGTGCTGGGGCCTCGGCTGGTTCTTTGGAGGGCCTCGCGCCTCGGGGTGCTCGCCAGCAGCTGCGCCTCGCCGATGGCGTTTTTGGGGGCAGCTGGACAGTTTCGAGCGGCCGCCGGCGGTCTCCGAGGTACGGTCGGGAGACCGCCCGCACGTCGCGGCAAAAAAATCACGGCGGGGGGCTTTTGATCTGCATCCTCAGGGGGCCACGTGCGAGCCCTACCCCCCCCCCCCCCACACGATTTCTGAGGCGGGGGGTGGGCCCCCCCACGATTTCTGAGGGGGAGGGCGGGGTTCACGTCGTTCGGGAGCTCCCAAGCGAAGTGAACCCCACCCTCCCCCTCAGAAATCTTTGCGAACAGGGCCGTGGTGTGAATCTATTGTACATCAAGGGCGTAAGAAACGCCCCTACCCTGGTTTGAGAGGCGCTCTGCGCTGAACCTCCTGTGGACTGGCAGGGTAAACCCTGCATACCGCGCGTGTCGCGCGGCGTCCTGGCGGCTCTCTGGCCTCCCCAGAGGTTTACAGACCACGCACTTGTAACCCAAGGTAGGGGCGTTTCTGCATCCCTCAAATAAAGG